ATTGCAAATATCTCCCCTGAGCCAGCCATTGGCAGCTTATAAATAATGCAGCCCCTTGCCGTGCAATAAGGGCTTGTCAGTAGCTATTCTGCTCTCATAAATTAAAGATGAAAAGGTACAAGGCTCTTGCCAGAAAAATGAAGACAAATTTTTAATAGCTTGCCAAGACACAGGGAGATAGAGCGCTCAGGAAAAATGAATTACATTTTTATTATGTGTTTTATTGTGGTATAATTGAACGGGATTATCTAAGAATACAATATATTTCCAGAGCAGTGTAAAGAAAACAAAAATAATGATGACACCTGCCTCCTCCCACACACATCACCCGGCTTTGCAGGGACACCCTCCTTGTGTGTGACTGGGAACTGGCCCGGAGCTGCTGGAGGCCACAAGAGGCAGAGATGGAAATGGGAGGTACATGGGACCAGAGACACAGATGCTTGGGGTGGCTGGGTCTGGCTGCATGGGTCTGGCAGGGCTGAGTCTGGGCTCACCCCAAGAGCCCCCCAAGAACTGTGAGTCTGGGATACAGGGCAGTATGGTGTGGCAATACTTTGGCCACACAGAGCCACTGAATGTCTTTTGTCTGTCACCTGCTTTCATTCCATCCCTGAGAGCCCCTTTGGTCTGTCCCACACCTGCACAAGCTGGCACCACTAGGCAGAGCCATGAAAAACTCAGTACTGGAGTGTTGCAGGTCTGGGGTGCTCAGCCAGTGTGTTCTCTTCTGAAGCCAGCAGTGGTGCAGATTCAGACACTTCACTGCACTAGGGGAACCTGTCCTCGTGGATTCCCCTGACTGGGGAAGAGAAAATTCCCTTGGCCAGTGACTTTTGGGGTTGACAAGCCCAAAAGGGACACTGCTGCCTCTGCAGGGGAGCTCAGAATGCAGCAGGGAATGATGCAGGGAGCAAGGATGCTCAGTCCCTTCCCGAGCTGACTCATCACAGAGGTCAAGGGCCAGTCCCAGAAAGAGAGCAGCTCGATGTCCCCAGGGCTTCTGGAGGTGCTGGGCGGCGCTGGGCTGGGGACATCGATTGGTCCCTGGCATTTTTAATGAGCTGCCCGACCACATGCTTTAACCTTGCCCATAATGAGGGCGAGCAGCAGCAATCCCTACCGCCTCAGCCGGCTCCCCCAGCCTTAATGAGCTAATCAATACTTGTTCTCAGCTTAATTTCCAGCTAATTGCTCTTTAATGACGCCTGGAAATGGGCAGCCTCTTGCAGGGGGGAGCGGGCAGGCTCCCCCTCCCCAGTGCCCGTCCCCAGTGGCAGCGGGTGCCGGGGTGCTGGCAGCGGGTCACCTTCCCTGGCTGCGTCCCAGCCCTGCTGGCGCGTCTGGAGGCTGGGGACAGGGTGGGTGGCAAAGGCGACAGCGGGCGCGGTGCTGCCGAGCTGGCAGCACCCTATGAAGCACCCAGCCCGTCTTGGGGGGGCCATGCAGCCCGGAGCACCAGGCTGAACAGAGGAGCCCACCATCACAGCAGGATGTGCCCAAGCCCCTCAGGACATTACACTGCGGTGAGGGCTCCCAGGCTCGGCTGATAGAGGGGCTTTTAGCGCGCAGGAAGATAAGGGTGGTGTGCCTGAGGTGTCCATACATTACTCCAGGTTCTGCAGCCCCCAGGTACGGGGTCAGTGGCACCGCAAGGGGCCGGGGACGAGGCAGGCAGTGCCCTGGAGGTGGCAGCAGAGACCCCGCAGCCGCCGGCCCGCCCCGCCGCCGCCCCGCGGCCGGGGCAGCCCCGGGGCCGGGCCGGGCCCCGCTTGCCGCGGGCTCGGGGCGTGGGCGGAGCGGGCGGGTCACCCTTCTCACCCGGCACCGCAGTGTCACATTTGGCACGATCGCACCAGTGCGGGGACACCCCGGGAATGCAGCCCCCGCCGTCTTCTCTGTTCCTGCCCCCGGGTTATTAGACTTGCGCTTGGATGGGGCTGGTGGAATCCTTGGCTCAGGATTCCTGCTGGGGTGGAGCTGAGCCGCGGCTCTTGCCGGGGCCCCGGGCAGTCTGGACACCGGGGTGTCCCTTACCGTTCGGCCATCGCGCCTCGGGGCCGGGTGACCCTGCACACAGCTGCAATCACTTCCCCAAGAATTTGCTGACGGGTTGGTTCTTCAGAGGAATTTGGTCTGGAAAAGCCTGGAGAAACCTGAGCCTGGCTGCTTCCTAGAGCAGGTCTGGCCTGGCACGCAGATGGGGGTGACCTGCCTGCTGCCCAAGTCTTGTCCCCACAGTGGAGCCCTGGAATGTGACTGGGGCTCCTCAAGAACCACTCAGCCTTGGCGTGGGCTGACCAGAACCAGGCTGCTTCAGACTGTCAGACAGCAGGAAACAGAGAGTGAAATGAGAGAGATTTGGTTTATTACCAGAAGGAGACACCCATGCCCTAGTCAATGTGCCAGCAGCATTCTGTCCCAGGATCTCTGGTGACACGTGCTTCTGCTGTGACATAACCCACATTCTCAACCCCACCAGCCCAGCCCCAATGCTGCTCGCCAGCCCTGCCTGACATAATGTATGTTGAGTCACTTGGCCTAGGACTGTTTTTCCAGAGTGGATTTTTCCCTTGGCTTCGTCTGCCATAAACCCCAGATTGCTATGGGGTGTCTGGTTAGCCCAAAGCAGCAGGGGGGTCAGTAGGGCCAGGAACAGTGTGGTACCCCTGACTAGATGTGATGCATTTCATTCTGATGGCAAAGCTTTGGAAGGATGCCAAGGATGTGGGCCTGCCAGGAGCACCCACGGGCTCCTGGCTTCCATGGGACCATCACAAGATGAGAAAACAGTGATGGGGAGCAACCCACCAGGAAGGGAGGAGGAAACTGGTGCTTTAGGCTCAGCCTTCAAAGCCCAGTTCCTGGAGCTTCACTGGGTTCAGGAAAAGTGAGGAAAAAGGAGAGATAACTAGCCAGCACTGGTAGGGAGCCAGGAATGCAATTTACCCAAGTGCCAGGCCATGCTGTGATCACCCTTTTCCCTGCAAAGCTGTCAAGCAATGTAAGCCACAAACCCCATTTGCAACCACGGCTGTGTTGATTGACTTCAGGTGTGATTGAGCAAAACTCCTTGTTAAGCACAGGTTAGATTTTCCACCCCTCATTCATAGCTGCTACTGTCTATTAACACATTCAATAGTCTCATTAAGCAGGAGGTTTAATTAACTGCCACATTTGAGCTCTGTCCTGTTGAGCTGAGCTAAGCTGCCCTTGGCTTTCTGAGGCTGGGTTGTATTTCTCTACAACTGGAGCTGCTCCTGCTCGGACCTGTGTTTGGATTTCACCTTTAGCCAGGGATTCTCCCCAGTTAGTGGCTGATGCTGTCGTGATGCTCAGGTGAATTCAGCCACACAGAGGCCATGATAATCCCATGAAGATAAGACACAGCAAACGTTTGGGCCATGGTATATGAGAGAAGGAACTACGTGTGGGAAAGGACAGCAGCAATGGGGCCTGTTCCCATGGGGCAAGAGACACAAATAACCTGATAGTCTGTTTTCAGCCATGCCTGGGATTTAAGTGCTGGCTCTGCTTCTGTGCTGGCCAGGAGCTTTGAGAGCAGGAGGTGGCAATCAGTGCCAGGCTTGCCTCACTGCTTCGCCCCCTGTGTGGAGCAGAGGCAAGTGAGAGTGTGCAGGAATGCCTGAATATGCAGGCAGTCCATCCTAAAGCAGGAAGGGTTGTATGGCAGGGATAACCCAGGAGGCTCAGCACTATAGTCTATCTCCTCTCTGCTCAGGCTCTGACCCAGCTCTGGGGCTGCATGTAGGAAAACCTCAGCCTTTCCTGACACTTTCCCTGCTTCCAAAACAGCTGCAGCCACAGCTGCTCAGCAGCTCGTGGATGCTGGACCTGAAAACTTGTGACATGTGGGGACCAAACTCAATAGGCTGAACAAGGGGAGCCAGGGAGGAAGGCAGCCCTGAGCCAAGGGGCTGGGGGCCACAGAGGGGGAGTGGGACATGAGGCTGAAGGCAGAGCTGGCAGGAAACCCCACTCTGCAGCAGGGGGCTGGGGAGGGGAGTTTGGCTGGCAGAGACAGATTTAAGGGGGCTGAAGCCTGCCGCATTTTCCGTTCGTTAGACATGGCTGGACTCACAATGTGACTGAGCAAAAACCCTGGAACCCAGAACAAATTTGCAGGAGGGTGTTGGAAAGCAAAAGCAAATTTTTGCAGCATGGTGAAGGAAACCAGATCCTTAGAAGGGTCCTGATTTGCTTGAGCTTCATGGAGGAACTAAGTCCCACAGAATCCTAGCCTGGAGAGGAGCGGGCTGTGTGATCCCACCCTGGCATGGCATCCGGAGCAGGATGCAAGTGCACGGTGTGTGTTTGTGCTGCAAAGGCATGCTGGCTCCCCCACTCCTCAGAGCCAATTCCAGCAGGAAACGGAGGCAGGGAGCAGCAAGGCAGCTTGCTGGGGAGGTCTGAAGCCCCAGCCCTGTGCACACAGGCACTGCGCTGCTGTGGCATGGAGCAGCCCTACCATTGCTCCCAATAGCTCCACTCCAGCCAAGGAGTGCTGTGGTTTACACACCAATACCCCCTCCACTCGTGGCTCCTGGTGTGAGGTGAGTGCAGACATCCCCCGAGAGTTATACCCCTATTTACTCACTGCAGCTGCTCAACTTTTCAGTCTATGTTTTCTAGCCAAATTACAGGCTGAGAGATGCTTTTGACCACTTCCTCAGCCATGCCCACTTGTCCCATTCACTTGTCCCCAAGGACTGCTGCCAAGTTGGACTGCAAAGGAGGGGACCTCAGTCCCTTCCTGCCCCATGGCTGGGGCGGAGCATCAGCCCAGGTCCCGCACACGCCTAGGGGTGATTCCAGCGGGGAGGTGCCCGTGCCAGGGAGCCGGAGCGGCAGAGCCCCGGGGCCAGGGTGCGGTGCGTGGCGGGACCCCGGCAGGGAAGGGGTGCCAGCCAGCCCGTGTCCCGGTCCAGGGACGGGCCGCGGGCCCGGAGAGGGGCGGGGGGATTCACGTTTCGCTGACATCACGGCGGTGCTGGAGCGGCCGGGGGCCAGCAGCCCCGGGGGCCAGCAGCCTCGCCGCCACGGCCGCTGCGCACCCGCGGGCCCGGCACCGGCGCCTCCGGTAAGTGGCGGCTTATGGCGGGGTGGCTCCCGGGGGCCCCCAGGGGACATCGTGCCCCTTCCCAGCACTCTTCCAGCACCCCCAGCGCCTGCACCCCAGACATGCGGAGCCAGAGACCAACTTCGCAATTCCCCCGCACCCTTTCTCTGGCCCCCCACATCCATCGGGGGATGGAGCCTTACTCCGGACAGACCGGGGTAGGGTGGGCGGGGGGAGGCCTCCGGCACTGAGACCCTCTGCCCCTTTCCACCCCTGGGGCGCCTGCTGGTCTCTGGTAAAGGGGTCAAATCTTCACGGTTTTTTTATCCGGGGATGCATATGTGTAACCCAATATCCGGGCCATCCCCACCCCAGCTCTGGGCTGTGTTAGCCCCGAGAGCAGGGGGTGTAGTTGGGGGGCTGCAGCTTGCCCTTCGGTGCTGTTCCCAGCGGGAGGGGTGGGGAGGGGACAACCTGTCTGCCTAGGTCTCCTCCCCGACCCCTCTGGCTTATACTGAGTCGCCCTGGGGCAGAGGACCATAATTTCACCCCATCTCAGGGAAGGCAGGGTATAACAGGGGCCAGGGAGAGATGTTCACAAAGGGATTTGGTTCGTTGTCACCCTCTCTGGGGACAGGCTCTGAGATGTCACATTTCCCCCCACCATGTAGAGATGGGAAGCCAGAGCAGATCAGCTTCTTCTTTCCCTGAGTAGGTAACGCAGGCCTGGGGTTTGAGGGCAGGGACCCTGCTGTGCTGGTACAGGCTGACCACAATGGGTCTACTGCGAGTCCAGTGGCTGCTCACCTGTGCACTGAGATCCTCCATGCTCAGCTTCAGTTGCCTGTGTGATAACTGAGGGACTTAAAATACCTTCTGGGAGTGGGCATTTTTTCCCCTGCTCGGGTAGGTGGTACCTAAAAAGAGGGGTTACAGCAAAGGGAGGTAAGGAGAACAAAAGCCAGGCATGACTGGGAGAATCCTCCTGTCTTGGTTGCCTCCAGGACAGAAAGAGCACCTTGTCTGAGCTCCATTGAGCTACTCTACTGAGCTTGTATGGATGGTGAGAGAGGAAAAAAGTGTTTGTGACTCTTGCAAAGCAGTGGGGAAAGGAAAGGGGCTTGAGAGCAGCTTTCTGAAGGACACCAGGAGCTGAACCATAATGTAGAACAGCCTGTCCAGTGCCCTGCCAGCCCTGTGTCTTCCCAGGCTCTGCTGGGCTCAGAGGAGGCTGGACTTTTCATGCTGGGCTGCCAAAGGAACAGGATGAAACCTGATGGGCTGAGGTCATCAGAATTATCTCTCCAGAAGACATTCAGTGTCTCAGGGCAGGAACTGGTTGGGGAGCTGCAGGGTACAAAGGCTATGACTGCAGGGCTGGGGGTGAGAGGGGCTGGAAGTAATCCTCCCCTGCACATCATGCAGTGCTGCTGCTCAGAGCAAGCCAGCCAGGAGACAAAGGAGTGGGAGACACTTCCTGCACCAGTTACACACTTTCTCCCTCCTCACAGGCCAGGATGGCTCCTCAGATCTAGACAGGAAGACCAGAGCAGTGCTGGAAATCTCCATCCAAGTGACAGTAGGATTGGGATAAAGGAGCTGCCGTGAGGATGTCTGAAGCCAAACCCCTCAGCATCTCTTGCCTCATGCTTTCCTTGCTCTCCTTGCACTGGGCTTTGCTCCAGCTGGGCCAGGCTTTTCCCAGCACCTCTGACTACCTCCAGCGGGGCTGGCAACGGCTGCTGGAGGAAGGGGAGGGCTGCACTGAGTGCCAGCCCGAGGAGTGCCCGATGCCACGCGGGTGCCTGGCAGGCACAGTGCGAGATGCCTGTGACTGTTGCTGGGAATGTGCCAACCTGGAGGGACAGATCTGTGACCTGGACAACACCAACCACTTCTACGGCAAGTGTGGGGAGCACCTGGAGTGCCGGTTGGATGCTGGGGACTTGCGTCACGGAGAGGTGCCCGAGCCCCAGTGTGCCTGCCTCTCCCAGCTGGCCCTCTGCGGCTCTGATGGCAAAACCTACGCCCAGATCTGCAGGTTCCTGGAGGCTGCCCATGCTCACCCCGATGCCAACCTCACTGTGGCCCATGAAGGTCCCTGCGAGACAGGTAGTGGCCCCAGAGCTGTGGGAAGAGACAAGCAAGGGGATCTGGCTTAACTGTTTCACCTGGCAGCAAAGACACGGGGACAGGACTGCCCTGGGGGCTGCTCCATGCATATCAGGTTCCCACTAGTCCCCCCACCCTGCTGCTCTGGGGGAGCCCCTTGCAGAACCAGTGCTTGGAGAAATCTGGGAGCAGCTTTGCCAAGAGGGAGTGGAGTTTATGGGAAGCAACAAATCCTGCTGGAGCAGATGGGGAAGTTCCAGGGAATTGTTAACGAATTCTTGGCGGCAGGGCTGGGTTCACACTGGCCTGCTGCTCCTGAGAAATGTGCCTTCCTCCTGCAAATAGAAACCAGGGTTGGTTTGGCTTGCTGTGTGATTTCCATCTCCCATTTAAAACTCAGGTGGGGGCTGAGGGGACAGTCTAGCAGGAAGGCCATGCCCCATCCTTCCAGTCTGGCACAGGTCACCCAGTGATGTCACTGCAGCCTAAGTGGTGTTAAGGTTGACCTTATTTTCTGTATATCATCAAGTTCTTGACTGTTTCCCCAGGTATATTTGGAGGTGGAAACCTTCCCTTGAACTCTGGCTTATGCTATGGGTCAGATCATGGAGCAGGTCTTCCAGATCATGGACCACCTGAGAAAGGTGGTCCCCAGTCCCTTCAGGGAAGGGATGTGGAACCTGGAGCTGTTTGCTCCATCCAGGAGATGGGGACCTGCTGACTCCCTTCATTGCTGACACGAGCTCTGGGTCAGAGCAGAGGCCTCATTTGGCTGGAGACTCAGCTACCTCATCCATCCTCACCAGCCTCAGGCTGGATGAGCGCCCCTTGGCCTTTCTCCCACAGGAGGAGCATGCTCCGATCACTCAGGAGAGCTTTGTTCTGTAACATTTCTGTCATTGCACTCTTCCTGTGGCGTGTGTTGCTTGAGCATCATTGCACAGGTGGGGAAACTGAGGCCAGCAGGGATGGCAACCCTCCATGGATGGGGGGGATTGGGGAAGGAGCTCTCAGTCCCAGCTGTGAGGAGGGACGATGTCCTTGGGAAAGGTGAGGGTCTGCCATGGGAGGCCGAGGAGACAGACATGGGAAGGGTCTCAGCATCTCTATGTGAACCAAGTGCTGCTGCTCCAGAGACCAGCCCAAGAGAGCCCATGGGACCTACCAAGGGTGGGACCTCTTCTGAACCCACCCTGCTCTCCTCTGCCCCCCTTCCCAGAGCCTCAGATCACCTCTCCTCCCTATGACACATGGAACGTCACCGGGCAGGATGTCATCTTCGGCTGCGAGGTCTTCGCCTACCCCATGGCATCCATTGAGTGGAGGAAGGATGGCACAGAGATGCTGCTGCCTGGAGATGACCCCCACATCTCTGTCCAGGTGAGCAGTGTGCCCAGGGCATTGAAGACAACCCCAAGGTGACCCAATGCTTCTCAGAGCTCATGGACAACCAGACCTGAGAGTGGTCATATTCTAGGAATGGCCAAGCCTGGCTGCCTGGGAATGAGAAGGGGTGACTGGAAGCTGTATGAGGACTGACTGAGCCAGGGCTGGTGTCTCAGTGGCCACCAGCATAGCTCTCTTCTGTGATTTCCTCTAGTAATTTTTGAACTTATCCATAGAGTCCTGCTGCAGGGAGTTTCCTACTTGCCTGCCTTCAGTTTGCTGTACATGCTGGCTTCACTTGCAGTCTTGCTGGCAGGGCTGGAAAGAGGACCTCTGAGTGCCTTACAGCCTGGGTTGTCCTCTGGTCCTACCAGCACACTCAGGCAATTCCTGCCCTTTTTTCCCATCAGCAGGGCATTCTTCCCAGATCTGGCAGGCTCAGGGCTCAGCATCCTGCCTGCAGCCAGCCCCAAATATAGCACCCAGCTGGGTGTACCTAGCTATTAGAGGGTGTGGGCAGAGGCAAAGGGGCCATGCACCTCTGCCAGGGACCAACAGGGAAGAAACTGTGGTGAAATGGATGGAGGGAGCCAGAGGAGCAGGTGGAACCTGGAACCATGGCCCCCATCCATCTTTCTGTCCTTCAGACCTCCCCCAGCTTGTCACAGGCTCCGACTGAGGATCTTCACCCCAAGTGGGATTACCCTGCCTGGTTGGAAGAAACTCTACTGTCCTCCACCCCTGGCCACCACACCATAATAGTAATCTGTAGACACAGCTGCAGCCCAGCTGGGTCAGGAAAAGCTTATTTATTCCTGGGGATAAACAGAAAATAGCATGGCTGCTGCCAGAGCAATCCTGGGACCTCACTGCCTGCCAAAACAGGGACCCAGGGCTCTGTGGCACAGACTCCCTCTTGCTTCTGCCACAAGTGCTGACAGAAATCCTCTCTTCCTTCAGTTCAGAGGTGGCCCCCAGAAATACGAAGTGACAGGCTGGCTCCAGATCCAGGGTGTGCGGGTGACGGACGAGGGCACGTACCGCTGCTTCGCCAGGAACAGGGTCGGGGAGGCGGTGGCACTGGCCAGCCTGACTGTCTTCACTCCGGGTGAGCACCACGTCCTTATCCCCCTGCTCTCATGGGGCCATGGGGAGCGATGTTTGGCCACAGTGCACCAGTATGGCCGGAGATGCTGGAGCATGGGACTGTGCTGGGGATGCCCCAGAAAACTGCTGTGCATGGTTTGGCTTTGGTTCTGGTGGGGAAGGGGACAGGCACAGCAGGGTGGCAATGTCACATTGTCCCCATGCTGCCATTTCAGACCAACTCAACCTGACAGACTTCTCCATGCTGAAGCCCCATGTGACACCTGAGGACTACAGGGAGAGTGAGGAGGACTACTACTAGCCCAGAGATGGCATGTTCAGCTGCAGAGATCACCTTGCCCAGAGCGACCCTTCCCTGGGACTTGGGGACATCTCTGGAGCAAGCATCCTCTGGCCCAAAACTCCTTTTCTGAACAATCCTGGCATAGCAGCCTGTTTTTTGGGGTGGGGAACAGGGTGACACAACCTTTTTGGGTACCGAGGGATGGGATACTGGCTGCTTGGCAAGGGCTGGGGCCAGGGACAGCTCTGCCTGGAGCAGGGTGGATCTGTCCTCTGGCACTGAGCAGGTAGGACACTGCCAGGACAGCTGTGCTGTGTGTGATAAGGACTTGGTGCAGGGGATGGAGACAGCCCCCTTTGGGAGAGGAGGCCAGGGCAGGAGCATTAAGTCCTGTATGAATAATACTTGGGGAAACTGGAGCAGAGAGCTGGGACCTGACTGTGATAGCCAGTGTCACCTCTCCGTCTGCTCTGTATCCCCCAAGCACAGAGACATCCCAGCTTCTCCCCAGGACCTGAGGAACCTGCTGCCAAAACACCCTTCTCTTCTGTTTTGTTTTTAACCAGAAAAGTAGTGATTTGAGGAAACCAGGCACTTGTGGCTTTCAGAGCTGTCTTTCTTCCAGCTGAACCACCCTTGTTGTCAGAAATACTTTGGCCTTTTTTTTGTTTGACTTTATTTTTCCCTTCCATGCCTTTGACTGACTTCATGCTTTCCTTTGTCATTTTAGTTGATGTTATTTAAAATATACACACAGGACAAAGCCAAGGCTGGCTGACTGTCCTGCATCCACAAGGATGATTATGGGGGTGAGGAAGGGTGCAAACACTGTGGATGCTACCTAGTCCATTGTGGGGTGCTTGAGCTGGGGAGCCCTCCTGCCCATCCCAATGCTCACAGCTGGTCCTGGTGTGGGTCCTGCTCTTCCCACCCCACCTGGGAATGGGGTGCCCAGCAGACAATCTCCTGTGCAGGGGTGATGCATCCACTCCAATCACTGTACTCCCATGTGTTTGGATCCTATCCCACTGCTGCCTGTTTTCATCTTGGTGTTCTAAATTCTGTGACACTGGTCTTCACCCAAGTGGCCACAGCTCTGTCAAGTGTGGAGCAGCTCTGTGCCTAGTTGGTGAAGTAAAGGGATGCTCCAGTTTCCACTGGAAACATTATATTTAAAAAACAAACAAACAAACAAACAACACAAAAAAAACCCCCAAAACACCTACTTCCCAAACCTGGTGATTTAGAGCCAACTTTCATTTGGGGGAGCACAGGAAGGAAGCTCAGTACTGCACTGTGCTGCTCACTGTCCAGAGAGGGCTGTCAGCACCTTCCTCTGGGCATTCTGGGGCTGAGTTCACATTCAAGGGATGCTTTATCCCCCAGGGCAGCAGCATTTACAGGACTTCTGGTGCTCTAAAGCTCTGTATGGACCAAACCACTCCCAGTTACTCAGTCCAGCTCCAGGGAGGTCCAGAACTGCAGCAGAGAGCCAGACTCTGTGAGAAAGGAATTGGCCAGAGCCCAGGCAGGAGCAGGCAGGATGCAATAAGGCTGGTGGCTCAGGTCCCGTGCTACTCTCCTTCACATGTTTTTTCTTTTCTTTTCTTCCTTTTTCTCTTGAGAGCTGGCTCAGATGACACAATTATGGCACTGAAACCTGAACAAGCAAATAAAAGGGACTTGTCTGGAACTGGCAGCAGAACAAAATTCCTGCAGACGGTGAGGCTGGGCCAGTTCTGGCCCCTTGCACCACAGCTTGATGGGGCACTGCTGCCCTGCCTGCTGGAGTGCCTACTCTTCCTGGAAGAAAACCCCTTCTCAGCCAGAGAAATGCAAAAGCCATTGATGCCTCAGCTTCTCCTTTCATCTAAGAGGTTAACAGAACCCTCCTGGGCTGCTCCGTCAGAGTCAGAGGGTGTTCAGGAGGGAGCAGGGACAGAAGTGTGCCATTGGCTTTTATTTTGCTTTTTTTGGGTGTAAAACATTCTCTCAGAGAAGCTGGGCCTTTTTTAATCCATCCTCATCCCCTTCCTGTTTTGCACACAAATGAGCTGGTGGAACTGGGCCACACTCAGGCTGAGGCTGCCACGGGGAAATCCGAGAGCGTCCCGGGGCTTCAGCAGTCAGGAGCTGCTTGTTGGGCTCCCAGCCGGTGCCCAGGGCTGGCCCCCAGCCAGGGCTGCCATGCCAACCCTCCTCAGGGCCAGGCTTGCCCTGCCCGTGTTGGCACAAACCCAGGTTGTGCCGGGTGCGGGTGCAGCTTTGGGCTGGCTGGAGGGTGTCAGATGCAGCACACGCTCCATCCCTGGCTCTCCGTGTGCTCTGCAGGACAATGCCCTGCCTGGGCAACTGCATCTGGGTCTCAGTCCTTGCCCCACTCTGCTTCACAGCCAGTGCCTTCATACCCTGTAGGGAGCTGGCAGTGAATGCTGGTGGTTCCAAGGGCTGTGTGTCCCAGACTCCTCAGATCCCACTGTCTGACTGGCAGGCAGGAGCTCAGCCAGTAGTTGAGCCCCTCTTCCCCGAAGGTAAAGGGCAGCAGAGTGACTCCAGGGGCACAGAGAGGGCTGGTGTCTCCTCATCCCAGCTCCCAGTCTTGCCAATTCCAGTCACTTAAAAATTAAAGAAGCCAATATTGCTGCACGGCTGGAATCGGTCACTGCCACAGAGCTTAATTGAGGTTATTTGTTGGCTCTAAAAACATTTGGTCACCTCTGCTGCTGGCTGCTGGGATGTTTCCTGCAGTCCCTGCCCCAAGGAGGGGGCATCCCAGGTTCTGCAGATCCTGTTCTCAGCTCCAGGCACCCAGAGGGTCCCGGGGACCTGACCAAACCTGGTGTCCCTGTGGGTCCAGAGGGTGTGCCCCAATGCATGCAGCATCAAATTCCTTTACTGGCTGATCTTTGGTGCAGTTGCTTTCTGGGGGCAGAGGGAGCTAAGCAGCTCCTGCCAGTCCAGCTGACTGCACTCAGAGCACCTGATCAGGTGAGCCCAGAGGTCAGGCTGATGTCAGGGACGGGGAGAGCTGGACTGGGAAGTGTTGACTGGCCCAGGCACAGCACCCACACCTCCAGGCCACCTGGAATGAGCAAGGTGTGGGTACTTCCCAGGGCACCAGAGGTCACTGAGAGCCTGGGTACAAAGAAGGGGCCTCTTGTCCTGCCAGGACCTGAAAGATCCTGGAGATGCACCCTCTGACCAGCTGCCAGCCACAGGGTTTTGCAGTCTGCAAGGGAAAACCCACTAAATCAAGCAAGTAAATACACTCCTGTAACAAAAACATGCTGCCCCTGTCCTTCCCTGCCCTTGGGGGTGCTGGGACCTGCCCCTGTCTGGGCCTGGGCAGGAGGCACATGGAATCATAGAGTAGTTTGGATTGGGAGGGATCTTACAGGCCATTTAGTTTCAATGCCCCTGCCATGGGCAGGGACACCTTCCACTAGACCAGGCTGCTCAGGGCCCCACCCAGCCTGGCCTTGAACATTTCCGGGGCTGGGGAGTCCACAGCTTCTCTGGGCAACCTATGCCAGTTCCTCAGCACTCTCACAAAAAATAATTTCATTCTGCTATCTGACCTAAACTTACTCTCTTTCAGTTTAAAACCATTCACCCCTTTTCTATCACTATGCGACTTGTCAAAAGTCATTCTCCAGCTCTCTTATAGACCCTTTAGGTTCTGGAACGTGCTTTAAGGTGTTCCTGGAGCCTTCTCTCCTTCAGCCTACTCTTCTTCAGGCCCAACTCTCTCAGCCTGTCTCCAGCCCTCTGAGCATCTTCATGGCCCTCCTCAGGACTCAGTCCAGCACGTCCACATCCTTCTGATGCTGGGAGCCGCAGAGCGGGACCCCGCACTCCGGCAGGGTCCCACCGAAGCAGGGCAGAGGGACAGGATCACCTCCCTCAGCCGGCCGGCCGCGCTTCCTGCGGGGCGTCCGAGGCAGGC